TCAAGTCCTCCGCCTCAGTGCCTTTGCTCAGGCAAAGCTCATGCTTCTGCCCAGAAGACTTTATTTAGAAAGCCTTCTGGCACAACACACAGTAGTTAGCAACTTCTTTTGTACTTCCATGATACTTTATACATCATCTCAATGACTTCATCTACCACTTTGTATTGAAATTACCTATGACCTCCTTACAGTCAGGGATTCTAATTTGAATTATTTCTATAAATACAGTGGCCTGGCCGGGCACCTGGTACGGGTCTGAATGATGTGTAGCTAAGTGAGTAAGTAAATGGGAGAAAGAGGACTTGAAAGGAAGGGGATAGGTTTAATTTAATTAAATTTGAGACATCAAAAGACCAACCTGGCCTGTCTTCCTCTTATTTACCCAATGCATCATGCCCATGAGATATAGAGACTAAGGAAAGAGGAAGAAGAAGAGGTAAAATGGTTTGGGGTGTTTCAGTTTTTGGTCCTGCCAACAATGTTTGGTTTCGATATCCAACATGGTACTAGTTAGCTGTTAAAACACTAGTCATCCCTGAACCAAACAGAGCTAACCTCCTGTTGTTCATCTATCAAACTCCCAATCATTTTTTAAGACTTTTGTGAAGCCTGCATTTGACTTTGCCCACCAGCTCCTGTAGAGTCAGTCATTTCATTACCACTTGACCTTGATCTTTCTTCTATCACTGCATGTATGTTGTATTTGGCTACCTTAGAATCCATGTTCCTTAAACTTGGATACATGTTTCTCTAGGGGACATATAGCACTGTAGAAATATTATAGTAATTTAATTCTAAGTGATTAGAAACATATATATTTTTATTTATTTATTTTGAAAAAGCCAGCAGTGGATGGGCAGAGAGAGAGAGAGAGAGAGGGAGAGAGAGAATCCCAAGAAGGCTCCGTGCTATCAGGATAGAGCCCAATGCAGGGTTCGAACTCAGAACAGTGAGATCATGACCCGAGCTGAGATCAAGAGTTGAACACTTAACCAACTGAGCCACCCAGGTGCCCTAGAAATATTTTTATGTTTAAACAAATATAGTCATATTATGGAAAAGTATCTAAGATAATACAAGAATTTTTAGAATGAAATAGGACATATAAAAATGATAGCATTTATTGAACACTTACTACACCCAAGGCACTGTGGGAAAACATTTTACACTCATTACCTTGAACATTATGCAAGTATTTTAGGTATTTGTCCTGTCCCTGGGGTGAGCATTCCAGCTCTCTTGGTGTAAGTGGAAAAGTCTGAGAAGGGTTGTTTACTTGAGGTATGTATTTCCAGTGCCCAGTGATCGGCCTGATACAGACTTGAATCTCATTAAAAGCTTGTGGAAACGGAGTGCCTGGGTGGCTCAGTTGGTTGGGTGTCTGACTTCGGCTCATTCAGAGTTCGAGCCCCACGTTGGGCTCTGTGCTGACAGCTCAGAGCCTGGAGACTGTTTTGGATTCTGTGTCTCCCTCTCTCTTTCTGCCTCTCCCCCAGTCGTGGTCTCTCTCTCTCTCTCTCTCTCTCTCTCTTAAAAATAAATAAATATTTAAAAAAAATTTTTAAAAAGCTTGTGGAAAGATTGGATCCTGCTCTCTCTGCTGGAATATCCTTTTCTCCCTTTCTGCCTGGCGAACTCCTATTGGTTCTTCAGTACCCAGTTTATTTTATTATTTTTTAAACAATTTTTTAAAATGTTTATATATTTATTTTTGAGAGCGAGCACGCACAAGCGCGGTAGGGGCAGAGAGAGGGAGAGAGATTCCCGAGCAGGCTCCACGCTGTCAGCACAGAGCCTGATGCGGGGCTCGATCCCACGAACCTCGAGATCATGACCCAAGCTGAAATCAAGAGTCGGACGCTTAACTGACTGAGCCACCCAGGTGCTCCCTTCAATACCCAGTTTAAATGTCACCTCTACTGTGACTGAAATCCGACTCTCTTCTCTGGCTTCCACAGCTCCTGAACTTCCCTCAGACTGAAAAACTGGTTTATCCTCTTTTTTTTACTTATTGGACTTCCCTGTAAAGAGGGCAGCTTCCCTGGGGATGAGTCTGAGTCTGATTTCCCAGCACCAAGCAAAGGGTTTGCCACAGAGAAGCCCTCAATGAACATTTGTTGAATGAATCAAGTAATAAAGTTAGCTAATATTCAGAGCTGACCTTCAAAGGAGAAAGAAGGGATTCTGTGTTCTGTCTCTATAGGCCCATTTTTTTTTTTTTTTTGAGAGATAGAGAGAGAGACAGAGTGAGTAGGGGAGGGGCAGAGGGAGAGAGGGAGACATAGTGGCAGAAGCAGGTTCCAGGCTCTGAGCTGTCAGTACAGAGCCTGACATGGGGCTTGAACTCATGAACCACAAGACCATGACCTGAGCTGAAAGTCAGACACTTAACCTACTGAGCCACCCCGGGGCCCCTCTATAGGCCCGTTTTCTTAACTTGTGTAGTGGGTTAGATGATGCTCCCTCCCTCTCCCCCGAAAATGAGTCCATTCTCTAAAGCTGGAACCTGTGAATGTTATCTTACTTGGAAAAAAGGTCTCTGTAATTAAGGATCTCAAAACGAGACCTGGATTATCTGCGCGGGCCCTAAATCCTAAGACAAGCGTCCTTATAAGAAAGAGAAAAGAATATGCAGGAAGAAGAAAAGACCATGAGAAGATGGAGGCAGAGGTTGGAATTATGCAGCCCCCAGCCAAGGAGTATCTGGAGCCACCCGAAGATGAAAGGGTCAAGAAAAGATTCTCCCTTAGAGCCTTCTAAGAGAGGCCCAGCTGACACCTTCATTTTGGGCTACTGGTCTCTAGAACTGTGAAAGAATACACTTCTGTTGCTATTGTTGTAAGCTACTTAGTTTGTGGTAATTTGATACAGAAGCCTAAGGAAACTAACACAGCTTGGAAACAGAAGTGTTTTCTGTGAAATTCCAACAGATCTTGGCATGCCAGGAGTCGAACCAGATGAGATTTGGGATTTCCTAACTAATCCCTTTTCCACAAACACCTGACCACACCACCCATGAGGAACCACTCGATGCTTCAGAATAGGAGACAGTGCAACATCCATGTTAGCCAGCTCTGGGGTCAGAACCAAAGAGTGTTCAGGCTTCTGAACACCCAGGAAAGATAGCATGCTTCCCTTTTATTAAATTAGTTTTAGTGCAATTATTGTATGTGAGCACTTCTCTGGCATTTTGCGTATGTTGATTTACTTAATCTCTACAGCAATCTTATTATTTTACAGATGGGAAAACTAAAGTGGAGAGCGAGGAACTGGCTTGCCCAGGAACACATAGCTAGAGAGTGGCAGAGCCAAGATCGCAAAAGTGCCTGATTCCTGTTGTGTCTGATTCTAAAACACTGTGTTCTTTCAGCTATGTCAGTCCAGGTGGTGGAGAAATTCATAGTCTTGGGGGTGGGGGGGAAGGCAGATTGATAGCCTGCAGAATGACTCAATGCTATTTATTATAGAAGCAATCGCTACAGATGCTATCATTATGCTCAAGGAAGTCTTCATGGAAGAGGCTGCATTTGAACTGGTTTTTCACTAAAAAACAAACATATACCGGGGCACCTGGGTGGCTCAGTCGATTAAGGGTCTGACTTTGGCTCAGGTCACGATCTCACCGTTGGCGAGTTCAAGCTCCCTAGGCTCTGGGCTGACAGGGCGGAGACTGCTTCCGATTGTGCGTCTCCCTCACTCTCTGCCCCTCCCTCGCTCATGCTCTCGCTCTCTCTCTCTCTCTCTCAAAAATAAATACACATAAAAAATGAAAACAAATATACACTGATTATCCATCAGGCACCGGAAATCCAGAGATGAATTACAAGGTCCTTTGGCTCGAGGAATTCAATGTGTGTGTGAGTGTGTGTTACGCACTTATTAGAAGACAATGCAATAGAATAGTAAGAAATATGGTAGAGGCAAGATTCCTAACTCAGGGTCCCCGAGTAGATAAGGGAAGCCTTTTGGAAGAAGGGACTCCACCAGCGGAGGAGATTTGATGGGCAAGTAGGCACTAGAAGGTGAAAAGTGGCACAGGCTTTCTAGGGATAGCATAAGCAACACACTGGTAGAGGTGAAACAGCGTTTTCTGGCTGCCTGGCACACACTGTGTAGCTCAGCGTACTAGTTAGTGGAGTGCGAACAGGGGAGGGGACTTGTGGGTTGGAGTTGCTCACGGAAGAGCAGGGACTGCCCGACAGGTTTCTGGTCTCAGCGCATCCTGCGTGGTGACTTGTCGAACGATAAAATATTCTTTCTCAATGCTCGCACGGTCCTGCGAACCCCTCAGGAAAAAAGGCTGCTCAGAGAACTTGCAACAGTAGCCCAGCCTTCGCGACCCAGCTGGCGCCAAACGGGTCCCCGCCGTCCAAGGGGAGGCCGGTTACCAGGGCAACTAGGTTCGGGCGGAAGTGGCTCAGAGGACTGACTCTCACTTATCAGGTGACTCTCCTGCCTCCTGCACGTGACAACAGAGCCCAGGCGCTCGCTCTACCTAGTCAGATCCCGCCCCTCTTTCCCCGTACTGACAACTGACACCAGCCTAGAGCAATGGCCCTTGCGGATCTACCAGGAGACCCCGCCCCACGGTAGTGAAAGAACCAATTAGACTGGGGAAAAAAGAAGCAACGCCCCGGGTTTCACCCCAGCTTGACAGACGCAATTTAGGCCATCCCCGGGTCCCTCCGCCCCGAGCCCATTCAGGCCGTCGATGGACAGCCCTTCTACCCAATAGCACATCCCTTGGCCGTCGTTGGGTCCCGCCCCCGTGGCAGCACAACCAATGAGCAAGCCAGGTCTCGGCGGGGTGGTGGGGGTTGCACTGCGGTAATATGGCTCTTCCTTAGCCCGCGGCCGCGGCGGCCGGAGGTGGGGTAGAGCCGTCCTGCCTCTCGGGTGGCGGGTTTCGGGGCTGCAGGGGCTCGGCGGGTCGTGGCTACGCTGTGGTGGCGGATGCCGGAGGAGCGCGGGCCCCGCCGCTCGGCGGCCCCTGGGTCAAGATGAGCGCCTCCGCGTCGGTCGGGGGCCCGGTCCCCCCGCCGCCCCCGGGCCCGGCCGCCGCGTTGCCACCCGGTTCTGCCGCGCGGGCCCTGCATGTGGAGCTGCCCTCTCAGCAGGTAAGCCCGCGGGCTCGCGGTGCTCGGTAGGGGGTGGGGTGGCAGGAGGCCGGGGAGGAGAGCCCGTGGGCGGCGGGCGGACCCTGTGCCAGCCGGGGGACCCGGGCGAGTGCCGGGGAGAACTCGGGGGACCGAGGACTTCAGGATTGTGAGGCGAGGGAGCCAGCGACGTCCGATGCTCTGGGAGATCCCCGAGTCCCCCGGAGGGATCCCGTTACTGGAGACCGGCTGCAAAGAGACGGGAAGAGACCCAGTGGAACTCCCTGGGGGCCCCGGCCTGAGCCCGCCTCTCCCCAGCTGGGGTGCTGGGGATTCCCTTGCGCGGACCCTCCTCCTCATTCCTCCTGGGAAGGGACCCGGGGAAGCCCGGGAGTCACCTGAGAGATGGGGAAAGCGCTTTTCCTTTCTCTACCCACTTGCGGAGAAACCAGTTGGTACTCTTTCCTACGGGAGAAGTTGAGGCATCTTTATGGTTTCTACCGTTTACTTTTCATCTCCTTGTTATGAAGTACTCCCCTCGGCTTCCCAAGAGAAATCCTTTGGGGCTTTGGGGTTTCCTTCCTGATTCTCAGACCCCCAAGGATCGCGTTTTAGCAATTTAGGGGCACCTTCCTCCTTCATTTCCTCAAAGGACTCCCCGTGGAAGGAGGATCTGATGTATATGTTTGTGTCTTACCCCATCCTTTAGCGGGGGTTGTGAGGGCTTCTCGGGTCCACATTGTAAGCGGATAATGAAGAGAGAGGACTGAGCTTGGGGGATCTAACACAATTCTCGGTGTCAGCCGTGTGTCTGTATGGTACTTCTTCCCTCCACCTCTCCCTTGCCAGGAAAGGACCTTTCACCCTCTCTCGTATCCCTGTTTCCTTGAAGAGGACCCAAGGAAAAACTGTCAGTTCCTGAGACTTACCCACGTAGGATTTGTGCCAAGGGCTCAGTGGCCAGTAATTCATTTCATCCTGACAGTTCTATGAGATAGCTATTTTTTATGATTTCCCGTTTTGTAGTTCAGCAAACTGAGTCTCAAAGATGGAAAATCCCACGTCCAAGGCCTTGAAGTCAGGAAGTGCTGAGGCTGGGTTTCACAGTCCAGCGTTGGGACCCTGTAGCCCCGGCACATGGCTGTGTGCTTGAGACTTGAGAACCTTCGCACAGGATGGAGCACGGTCCTTCACCCTGCATTCAACTACCCCTGCCCTAGTACTTAGGAAAGATTCTTAAAGAAGAAAGCAGAGTTTGGGGCAGGGGGTGGAGGGGAAATGAGATGGGTTTGAAAGCAGGAAAAGTAGAGGGGGTGCTAAAGTGGAGAGCTGCACTGGAGGTCTTAGCTGCACTGGCCACTGAGCTGAATTGTGTGCAGAGGCAGGACTTTTTATGTGGGAGAAGAGCATTTAAAAGCTGGGGTTAGCATGTGCCCTAGTTTTGTGGTGCTGTTGGGAAGCGAGTTGGTGGAGAATGTTAGGAGTTTGAGGGTAGTGAGGTTTGGATTGTATTTATGAGGTCCTGGGAAAGATTAGAAGTCTGGCAGGGGGAAGACTAGCCTTAGGAATGAGCATTCAATGTGAATTTTCATGTGTGTGGGGAGGTGGATTGTGAGGATGGGTACTGAGAGAGGCGATGGTGGGCACTGTTGGGAGCAGCCTGGAGAAGTCCGAAGTATTGAGGGCCAAGAGGGATTTAGCTTGGGGGAGCTTTGGGAAAATGTGGGATTAGAAAAGAGGAAGCATCATTTGTTGCAGAGAAGCATGTTCTCTGATAACAGTTCACAGTTTAAAAATTTTTTTTTTTTTTTTCAACGTTTATTTATTTTTGGGACAGAGAGAGACAGAGCATGAACGGGGGAGGGGCAGAGAGAGAGGGAGACACAGAATCGGAAACAGGCTCCAGGCTCCGAGCCATCAGCCCAGAGCCTGACGCGGGGCTCGAACCCACGGACCGCGAGATCGTGACCTGGCTGAAGTTGGACGCTTAACCGACTGCGCCACCCAGGCGCCCCAACAGTTCACAGTTTAAAATGGGGGAAATAGCTAAACTGTCCGTGGAATAAATTTAACTGCATTTGTAAGCCTTTGTCAAATTTTTGGATTTGTGCCGAGGGATACATAGTGGCTTAAGTATTTAGCTGAATGCCACATGAGCTCTGAGTATGGTATTTACAGCTTTCTGGGGGTGTCATCCTTCTTGAATTCTTGGAAGGTAGCCTATATAACAAAAATACTTTTGCAGTTGACGTTTTTTTTAGTTTTGTGGGTCAAAGTGCCTATATAATGAAAATACTTTTACTTTTGCAACTGACGTTCATTTAGCTTTGGGGGTCGAAGTGTTCAGGTTTTTAGGGTGTGAGTAACATTTAAAAAATAAACATTTTTGTATAAGTGTTATCTGTATAAACTGCACTGATTATTTAGCACACAGCTTGATGAATTGTTGCAAAGTGAACACAGTTATATAACCATCACCCAAATTAAGAAATACAAAATTATTAGCATTCCAGAAGTCCTCTTTATGTTCTCTCCCATCTCTACCTTTTCTTTCTCTCCAAAGGAACTACTAGTCTAATTTCTAACAAGAGATCGGTTTTTGCCTGCTCTTGAACGGTGTATAAACGCAAACGGTGTATCATGCAAAGACCACATTTTTTTGTGGTCTTCTTTGTCTGATTTCTTTTGCTCAGTATTCTCTGTGAGCATCATAGGATGTGTGTGTATAAGACTTTTTTCTTTTAGCATGAATTCATTGTCTTTTGTTGTTGTTCTATGTAGCTTTTGCAAAATTTAAAAAGTTTAGATAAATTGGAAAATCAGTTGATAACTTTCGTTTAAATGACACTTTGAAAATTGTGTCGTTTTACTGGATCCCATGGTATTTGATAAGATGTCAGTCTTTTGAAACAAATAAGTAAACACTGTTTTAGGATTTCTGTTGTAAAGCTGATTGTCTCAAAGCATAGATTCAGTGCTTCCCCCAGGCTGCTTCTTGGCATTGTTGACAATTTTGAGTGGGTAGGTCAGTCTGTGAGATGTGGAGCCACATCCATAGCTTGTACCCACAAGGTACTAGGAGAACCTGTCCAGTCCGGACAGTCAAGAATGTCTTCAGGGGCTGCCAAATGTCCCTTAGAGGGGCAAAATTACTCCTGATTGACAACCACTGTTCTAAGTATATTTTCATCTTAGGGTAGACAGTGTGCCTGCTATTTTGTACTCATTCATTTCAGTTTTCATTAAGTCCCATTGATTCTCATGGCTGTGATGTTTAAAATGTTAATTTACTGTATTAGTTTTAAAGGTGTTGGAATCACCTTAATCTGCCTCCAGGAAAAGACTTACCTATTTTGCTCAAAGGAAGCCCACAAAACTATGTATAAGACCCAACTTATTTTTGTCTTATTTTAATCCACTTGTCGTTAAAAAAGAAATTTAGTTAAGGCTGCATAACTCCTGAATCTTTGTCTATGTGAGTAACTAGTCCCTAATTGTCAACCTGTCTGTGTCAGATGGGACTACTTACTACTTAATCTTTGCCTCCTTTTGCTTCTGTATGATCTTACTTTAATTGTTAATTTAAGCATGAACTAGTCACACATTTTGAAGACTGTTTTTGATCTTTAATTTTTGGTTGAGGTTTGTAATTAGTGAATATAAGCTCATCTGAAGAATAACTTCCTTCACACCCTTAAATTTAGAGTTTTGAAATAAAATTTTGTGTTTTGTGGTAGAGGCATTTAATATGTCCTAAAAGTTTAATTGAGAGCACTTCTTTCCTCCCCAGAGTCTTCCTCACTTGAGTCTAACCTAAACTACATTTCTGTAGATACTCAGAAATGGGTGGTTTTTTAGTGATTGTTCAGTGACCCTTCCAGGGGGCCGCATATTCCTTTAAGAATTTGGTAAAAGCTATAGACACCTTCCTTAGAAAATGCACTTACATACGTAAACACAGTTTTGCATGCGGTTTTGGTTTTCTTGAAACATATGTACGTGGAAACCCCAGTATCAACAGCCCTGAACTGGTTTATTCCTTTCCTTTAAAAATTAAGAAAAAATTTGCTATTTATTATTTGTTTTAGACAGTCATCCATGTCAGTGTATATACATCTACCGTATTTTGCATAATAATGTTCACTTAGCTTTGTTTAACTCCTTGTTGGTAGCCCTTTGTACAGTTTCCAGTTTTATCTGTTACATTGTTGCAGGGAATATACACGTATAGGTATCTTTGTACACTTGTGCTAATATTTCTTTAGGATGAATTTTGAGCAGTGAAATCACTCAAAGGATATATGTATATATTTAAATTGGTATAAATACATAGAATTATACTTCGTATAAAATATGTACATGAATACTTTTATTTTATGTACGTTTTTGTTAACTTTATTTTTTATTTTTATGTTTTCATTTTTGTTAACTTTAGAAGATATTAGCAAAGTGTTTCCCTGAAAGGACATGTCCACCACACTACTACCACTAGATTATGACAGGGTTTGTTTACCCATCATATTTTGTCAGCTTTGGGCATCGGAAGTTTTCTCCGTGTTTTCCAATATGATTTTATATATATGTATAATATATGTAGAATATAATCATATAACTTATACATATATGAATGTGTATAATCTGCATCTGTATACACATATGTATATATTTTTGCTATTTAAATTTGTATTTCTTTAATTATTATATTTTAATAGCTTCATTTAATGTATACAAAACACTGTGCTAAGTACATGATCTCATTTATCCTTAAACAACCCTATGGATTTCATCTTTGCATAGGTTTATGTAACATTGTAATTTCTTTCGTGAATTGCAGGTTTATTTTTGTCCTTGGCATTAATTTTTCTGATCGCTCAATGTTTTTCGCTGATTTGAAGAGCATTTATTTTTCTTCTCCTGTGTTTGGAAGAGGTGGACTCTATTAGCTCTATTAACATTTATATCCCCTGAATTTTTTTATGTAGACATTATTTTTCAGAACAGTTTTAGATTTACAGAAAACT